CGAGATATATATATATATATATATATATATATATAGATAATGTGTTTAAATACTAAAATAAAATACTACTTACTACTATTCTTACTTCATGGTCTTTCACTTATCGCGGGGCTTCAGGGTATGGATCCCCCCGCAATAAACAAAGGACTATTGTAATGTGAAGTAAGTAAAGTTTATAGTGCTTCACAATAAATAGTTATAAGCTCCAAATCCACTTGTTCAGACTAGTTGTTATCTCTTCAGTCCAGTCAGAATTAAACTGTTTCTCCAAACTGGCTGTATCTACAACAGGTAAGCTATTAACTGTTCATAAGCTTTACATAAAACCTCACTTCAAAATATAACTTTACAGTTAAAATCATTGTTCCATCAGCAAGTGACTTAACTTCCAGCTTTACCCCCTCCCATCTCTTACTGATGGTCAAAAGTCATCCCTCAGATCCTCAGATCTGAGCACCATACGACCTGCGGCACATTCCATGCAGAGGACATGGACACACTTGGGCACAGGTGCAGCGAGGTGTGTGTGGGGGAGTTTAAGGGAGGCAGCATTTAAAGAGAGGAAGCAAAAAGAAGGAGAGACCCAGTTAGTGTCAGGACTAGGAGTGACGTGGCAGGCAGAGTGACACTGAGGACAGAAGGAGAGAGGGATGGAGACACGAGGACTGGAACAACAAGTTAGTGGTTGGCATCAACTGAATTATACACACCAGTGAAACTATTCAAACCTGCGGTGGTTAGTATCTAAATAACAGATCGGCATCAACATCTCTGCAGAAATCAAAGGCCAGACGTAAAGAATTTTTCTTGAATATGTTTTAAAACCTCCTGAATCTTTGGTGAGATAAATTATGTGAATTGATTGTCCCAGCCCGACTAAAAGTCCTTGTGGACACAACTTTTCACTTTGGTCTTTCAATAAAAGGTTTTTAAAAGCTTAAAAATGTATCGTTTGCTGCTTCCAGAAGAGGTCAGAAACATCCTGAACCTGTAAAAACCTCATCGCTACCATCCTGACCTGGTTCTGGTGTTCAAATGGACTCTGTGCAAACTAAGGCAAGAACCTACAGATCATCTCAGTAAGATCTTGTCAAGAAACTATTTCAACAGAACTACAGTCACCTCGTGATCATTGCTGCTTCATTCTGTTCTAATGGAAAGTCTGTAATTGTAAAGTGGAAGAAAGATGAAACATATTTTACATTTTGTAACAAACACAAATCTAAAAGTGTGACATGCATTTGTATTTCACCCCTTAAAACAAAAACAACTAGAACACGCCGATGTCTCCTGTCTCTGAGGGATTTTAATTGTGCATTTTTTTCATTCAACCTTTCTCTATACAGGTTAGTCTCATTGCAGTAGTGTAAGAGATGAGTGTTTTTCTAGGCTACAACTGAACAGGGAACACAAGTAAGGTGTAATGTTTTAGGTTAAACACATTCATGTGGGTAGAAGTTACACATTGTAGAAGAACAGAGGGAGTTTTTTTTTCTTGTCCTAGGCAGTGCAGCGTTAGCTATTTAACAGTCAGTAATGGTGTGCCACAAGGTTCAGTTTTAGGACCCACTCTCTTTACAATTTATGGATGTAGGCCAAAACGTTCCTGACACGTCCTTGCATCTCTATGCTGATGATACAATTGTTTATTGCTGAGCTAACACGGCTGCCATTGTTTTCCTGCTTCTACATTCTGCATTTGACATCATTCAATCTGACTTGTTCCATCTCAAACCGGTGCTAAATATTGATAAAATCAAACGGATGTTGTTTTCAAGCAGAAAGTTAGTGCCAGAAGTTCTTCCTCCTATCTCATCCATGCATAGTGTTCCTATTGAGTTTGTGGATTCTTACAGACCAGAAAATTTTGGTTGATGCACATCTCTCTTTTAAAACACATGTTAAAAACTTGATAAAGATATAAATTAAAACTGGGTTTCTTTTTCAGAAATAGATCTTGCTTAACTCTGAATGCCAAAAACTGCATTGTAACCGCTACTTTCTTACCGGCCATTGACTACAGTGACATTATTTACACGAATGCCCCTGCCAGCTCCTTGTAGATGTTGGATGCTGTCTATTATGGCACACTAAGATTCATAACTGGTTGTAACCACCGTACCCATCACTGCCCTCTGTACTCCTTGGTCAGTTGGTCATCATTGTCTACACGTAGGCTCTCACACTGATTCATCTTCATCTATAAATCTCTCCTTGGTCTGCTACCTTCTTATATCTCCTCCCACATGTCACGTCGTCAGTGCAGTTACAACATGCACTCTCAGGACATGATTACCTGCAGCGCTCCCTCATTGCGGACTGAACTCAGCAAAAAGGCCTTTTCCTACTCAGCTCCTGCAAACTGGAACACCTTGCAACATGAACTGAAGCTGTCCACGTTGATTTCTTTAAGGGATTATTGATAAGGCCAATAGAAAAATCAAAGCAAATATGTTTTTGTTTTTAGTATTTTACCTTGTTTTATAAGACACCATGATTTTATTGATTTGTCTGTTTTTATAACACTACTTTAATTTTATTTTTAATTACTTTTTGTTGAAAAAAGTACTTTATCTGTTATCTGACTAAAACAGGTCCCTCTTAAAAATTAGTCCTTGTGACTCAATGAGACTAACCTGTATAAATAAAGTTTTAAATTAAAAAGAGTGATGGATCCTGGAGAGAGGAGGAAGAGATTTTATCCGCCAGGCAGGGGGCGGCCAATGGTGGCATTGACCACTATAGATTAATTTTTGGCCCCCTTATTCATTTGAGGAAACTATACTTTTAAGCAATATAAAAACTAGAAAGCATAGTTTACTGAAATGGTTAAGTTTACATAAATATATGGTGGCCACCATCTTAGCTTTTGACAACTCAATTTTTAAAGAAATCTTTCATATGCTTGACGAAATCACATGTCAAAATGGACGTCGATAAGTCACTTATTTTTCAAGTTATCATGTTCACAACTTGGACAGATGGACAGACAGAGGATATTTCCAATTCCCCCTTTTCTTTCTGTGATGGTGGGCAACAGACGTTTTATGAACGGGCTTGTATTGTTTGTTTTGTACAGTAATCTCCCACACAGTGACATCTTTGCTCATCTTTGGACCATTCACAGATGAGAGACACCCACGTGGAGCAGCTAGGAGTAGATATTTTGCTTAAGGATGTCATGAAATTTGGGCATGGTGGGAAATCAAACTTGCGATTATCTGGTTCCAAGTGGGCTTCCCCACCACTGCTCCACAATTGGTCCTTAAAAGACACCTAATTAGTGAATAGAGGACACCAGTGTGTAATTCCATCTCACTATGGAGCCAGATGTTTCGTGAAGTCCTCATTAAAACATTAGAGATCAAACATGAAGACCAAGGAACACACCACAAAGCTTGGACATACAGTCCCACAGCTGAGGTGGGCCAAACTGTCTTCAGTACTCATATTAAATGTGCCCCACAAATCTGGCCCTTATGGAATTGTGACAAGAAGAACCTCATTGTTGAAAGTAAGAAGTCCAGTTTACAGCTTGACACAGCTGCTCGGCTCAGATCAGACCAAAACTTACTTTTTGACCTAAACTAAGTGTGTGTGGCAATAATTTCCTGTGCACTTCAACCAGAACACCTCTCCCACCATGCACTGTGAAACATGGTGGTGGAAGCATCATGCTGTAGATAACCTTGTCTTCAGCGGTTACAGGGAAGCTGCTCAGAGCTGATGGTGGATGGAGCTAAAAATAGGATCATCCTGGAACAAAACCTGTTAGAGGCTGTAAAAGACTTCCAGCAGGTCAACGGCTCAAAACATCCATCCAGATCTACAATGGAATGGGTCGGATCAAAGCAGAATCATGTGTCAGAATGAACCAGCCACAGTCCAGACCTGAGTCCAGCTGAGTATCTGACCTAAAACCTGCTGCTCAGAGTCCAATCTGACTGAGCTGCAGCTGTTTCATAAAGAAGAATGGGCAAAAATTTCAGTCTTCAGATGTTCAAAGCAGGTGGAGACAAACCCCAAAGGCCTGCAGCTGCATCTGCAGCTAAAGGAGGCTCTACGAGGCGGGGGGGGGGGGGGGGGGGGGATATAAATGCACATCAGACTTTTCAGATTTTTCTTTTCATCATGTATAATTTTCCTTCCGCTGAACATTCACAAGTGTTGGTCTGTCACATAAACTAAAATACTTTGAAGTTTGTGGTTGTAAAGTGACAAAACATGAAAATATTCAAGGCTTATAAATACTTTTCACGATGCTGTAGGTAAAAACCATCACCCTTATGGGCTTAGAGGTGGTTCAAACACTCAGCATGAGTGTCATCATCATTAGCAGTAATGTCATTAGTATGAGATGTATTTACACACATCCTAATATTCTTATTAACATCATGTTTCATTGAGGTTCTGACCCACCTCATCTTATTTTGCATGCTAACAAAAGCAACCTGAAGAAAAACTCTGATTTATGAAGACAGGATCAGGACAAGGTATCCACATACAGACCACAGTGTGACAGATGTGAGAGAATATTTCACAGCCTTCTACAGGTTTTGTAAACAGTCATGTTTTAGTTCATGTGAACTAAAACTCCTAATGTTTCAAAGAAATTTAAACAGCTTTTAGTGCCTAACCTTTAACTTCCTTGTGCAAATCTACTAAAACCTTGAACAAATACCAAAGTAGTTGTATTACTTTCATTTGGTCGTTGAATACAAAGGGACCACATGAGCTAGACTTGCCCACATGCCAAACGTCAGAAGTGAGAGTACGGTCGAGTCATACCTTTGATTGGACATCAGCATTGTGATCATTCTGAAGGAGCAGGGCGGCTGATTTGGTGTCATCTTTGCGAGCAGCAATGTGTAAGGCAGGCAGACGGACCTTGCCTTTGGTGTCGTTCTCCAGCAGGACAGAAACCACCTGGTTGTGTCCCTGCTGAAGGGCGATGGCCAGAGGGGTAAAACCATCCTGGAGGAGGGGAAACCAGACAGAAAACATAGGAAGAAGCAGTTTGTTGGGTTTACAAAGGGAGCATTATTTCATACAAGTGGTCCTCTGTCACTGAGGGATTTGAATTATAAATGTTTATATTTTTCAAGATGAGTGTTTTTCTGGACTGGGATTGAACAGAGAATGTAAGTAAACCTAAATGTTTTTGGTGCAAGATATTCAAATTAGGAGTTACACTGTGGAGAACTATAAAACCATACTGGATCGGTCGAGGCCCGGGTTAACAACGACCGCCACCAGTGCAGATGACAAACCTGGTGCCGGAGAAAATTGTGCTACTGTGAGTCGAAGACCACGAGGAGGGAAATGTGTCAGGAGACAGAGGGAGAAGAGGAAAGACAAGAATGAAGGACTGAGGGTTGTAACTAAATGTTGGGACAATGACAGGCAAAGGTAGAGAGCTGGCTGACATGATGCTGTGAAGGAAGGACGTTAGAAATGCAGCTGCCAGGAAAAAGACAAAGAGGAGATATATGGATGCAGTTAGAGAGGACATGGAGGTAGTTGGAGTGAGGACAGAGGATACAGAGGACAGAGAGAGATGGAGGAGGAGGACTCGCTGTGGAGACCCAAGAAGGAAAAGCTGAAAGAAGAAGAAGACTGTGGAGAACTATAAATACTAGAAAGCCTAGTTCCTCCAAATGATAGGGGTGTTTGGTTTACATATGGTGACCATCTTAGATTTTAATGTGGTATCACAACTTTTTATCGTGACCTTTCTTACGCTTAGATGTTGTCACACACCGAATCGCAAGTTGGTACCGCACTTATTTTTTAAGTTATCATGTTCACAGCACGGATGGGCAGCCTGAAGGGTGGTATTTCTAATTCCTGCTCTTTGCTCCACAACGGGGTACAAAATGTGCCAAAAATGTAAACACCCTGAGGGCTTCTTGAAGACTTTTTGCTTAAATAACTAATTAATAATTTCTGGGACTTTAGCATTTCCAATACGTTCTGTACGACTGTATAGGTTACGCAAAAAACAAGACTTCTGATCATCTCTCCATACTGGAGTGTCTGGGCTGCCATGTTGGTCATACTAAAGGGTTAATGTTACACTTTTCTAAAACATTAGAGTGTCTCCATGTGTACCTTAACAAATCAGATATAAACTAATATCTAGTCTCTTTCAAAGACAAAAATATGCAAAAATACAAGTAACTACTATTGACAATTTCAGAGCAAATGGACTGAAAAGACTTTTTTGTTCACTTTGTCAACAAAAACAGGTATTAAACCTGTTTATTGTACAACAAGAGCATTTCTGTCTAACAAATATAATGCGAAAGACTCAAGAATAGGATGATCTGCTGCATCTGTTTAACAGAGTCAAGGCGCCATCAGACATTTTAGTGCCAAACTAGAAAACTATAATTGCATCTCAGTATGCAGCTCGAACATTACCAGACAAAAGTCAACTTATTTTATACTGAAACTGTAAGAGACAGCATGTTTCTTGTATTTGATGAAGGTGCTGACTAACATGTTAGATGAATTATTGCCTGTATTCCTCATAACCTCAGAATCTTACTATTAATATCATAACTCTGCTTCTAAACATCCTCATGGTGACATAACGGTCTAGCTCAAAGGAATGCCACATTTATCAGCAGACACACAGCTAAACTCAACTCACTTCTGTAGCGATGCTCTGGTTGCCCCCGTTCTCCAGCAGGTACCGGACCACGTCCATGTGGTTCTCCTGGGCCGCCATGTACAGAGGCGTGAATCCATTCTGAACAAAAACACAACATGTTGCCAACTCACTGATGAGGATGAGTGCAACCTCAACATGGAGCTCCTTTTAATAATCACATCCATTAAAGACAGAGCTACTCCAGTGATGGCGTCTACCGGAGGTGGTACTGATGCCCTGAATGACCGAAGACTCACCTGAGACTGTGCGTTGATGTCCGCGCCCCGTTTGGACAAAATCTTCACCACTTCACCCTGACCAGCCAGGGAGGAGATGTGAAGGGCTGTGTTTCCTTTCTGGGTGAAGGAAAACAAACTCAGATCAATCATCTATTTTCTCTTAGTTTTACCATCGACTGTTTCCATGAGATAGAATCTGTCATCGTCCACGAGCTGAACGGTAAGGTGATGCTCTATAAAATTAGTAAGAGTTAAAGACAAAAGGAAACAAGCGGTATGCCGATGCCCCCTCATTGTTGAGAGATGTGAATAGTGCAGTGGTTCCCAAAGTGTGTGGAGTGCCCCTTAGGGGGGGTGCAAGGCCATTGCGCTGGGGGGTGGGGGGTGGGTGGTACACAGTAGAGTTGCATTCAGGCACAAAAAATCTGATCGACCTGGCCCCAGCCCGCAGTCAAAATTTCTGAACCCCACTTTACCAGACGAATTAACATTAATTACAGGTCCGAACCTGGAAAAATAACCAACATTTTAAATTAGTTAATAACGGTCGGGGACGCGCAGCTAAATAAAAGCGGCATAAGATTTGGAGCTGAGAGGTGTTTGTCCATTCATGGCCATAAAAAAGCATTTAAACCCTGTTTCTATCTGCATTCTTCTGAATTTCTGAGACACATGGACAGCTCTGACACACACGTCTGCTTTGGGATCTCACCTGTTTGGATCGTCGGCCGCGCGCGTCCGCTGAGTATGAACGCAGAATGAACGTCCATTTGGGCGATGGATTGCTGCCTGGCAGTACAGTCCCATCTGAAGCTTAACTGAACTTTTTACCTTTCAAGACCAGTCAGCTCGCGGTAAAATGGCCACGTGAGGCTGGTGGAAGTATGGCAGGCCATGTCATCATATAATTGGATCACGGCTGATCCTGACCTAATTAAAAGCCCTAGACCGACCCGGCCCACCCATTAATCACATTATAATGGCCTGGCCCGGCCCTAATCCGGTTCGGTCCGGGCCGGGCCGGGTTTCGGGTTAAAAATGACAGCCTTAGCACACAGTATGACTGAATGGAGAAAATTAAAGGAAAAAAACAAAACAAAGGCAAGAATGCTGGGACACTTCTAGTGTAACAGGTTAATAATTTTACTCTAATACTTCAAATTCCATGAAATCTGTCATGATTTTGTCCCATTCGTCTACGATGTTCGAAGCCGGCTCTTTTATTTTCCCAGGTGGAGAGAAGACTCGCGACGATGCGAATAATGGCAGAAAAGAATAAAGTTTTACCATTTAATTTCTATTAACGGCAGTAAAAGTTACAGTTACACTGCTGTTACTTCGTCCGACCCTACGCGACCAGGACCCGGAAACGAAGTGCTATTGAGCTCTCGAAGAAACTCGGCTTTCTTCGACTCTAGACTCTGCCCTTAGCCTGAGGGCGGAGTGCAACCTCATTGGATCAGTAGTGTATTATGTGTGGACCTGTATAGGTCATAACTGGTTTAAACTGATGATACCGTGGTGTTTAAAATATGCAAGCAAGCAGTAATCAAATCCATATAAGGAGTTGTTTCCGGGACTGCTCCTCTTTGAGCAGATTAAACAAATCTTTGTTTGGTCCGAGACAGACCCAAGATCTGTCCCTGGGCGGGCAAAGTAAGATTTTCTTTTGAGTTCAATGAGGACACATGTAGCAAGCTGTTAAGCAAACCAGTTAATTTTTTGTATTAGTAGCTACTTGCTTGAGCAGAACATTGAGTGTGTCCTACTTCACTTGACCACAGCCCACGTAGGTCATGTAGCCTAGCATGTTCAGAAACATGCCAGATGCTCATTTGGGAGGTAAGCTGTGCGCTGCGGCTCCTGATATAGGCCTATTACATTTTTCTTGCTTGATTCACGTTTATAAGTTATATGTACTTGTGTGGGAAAATGAATGTTGTTTCTTTGACCACAGAATGTTATCTGGCCTATTTGAGCCCAAATATTTGTTTTATTTGATATATTATTTATATATTTGTTTAGTAAGCTAATGCTAGCTTGTGTGTCACAGTTATGCTACCGCTAGCTTAATTTCGCACCATGTGTTGAATCTTTTTTTTTTTTCAAACTTTTCTTTATTTTGTATCAACAAAATAAAGACAAATCAAAACAGGTAATAGAAATTGGAGATTTTTTTGTTTTTTTTTGTGGAAATTTTCTTATAACCCAAAGGGGGCCCAGCAGAAAAAGTTTGGGGGACCACTAGAATAGTGAATGTTTTTAGTCTTTGAGATGAGTGTTTTCCTGCACTTGTGAACATTCACACAGTGAGGGGTGTTATGATTAAAAATTGTGATTTATGTATCTTCTCGTCACTAAAATACTTGAACATTAAAAACCTCACGACAGAAGACAATTAAACAAACTACACAAACAGATGTGACAGATTCAATGTGAAAACTCATCTAATTTTCATATTTGACCATTTATTGAATTAAATTCATTCAAAACTGTTTCAACCCACTTAAAACCAAAAACAGTGTTTTTATTTCATATAACAATAAGCTCTGAGAAGCCCCGAAGAAAACACTGAAGTGAGAAGAGCTGCACACTTTGAATGAATCATGCAAGTTATAAAACATCTGGCCTGCTGTATCCATCTATTCGCTAAAAGGCTTGTCTGGAAAACTCATTCTGTTGTTTTTAAAATGTCTTTTAAAGTACATCTTTATATTATATTTTAACCTTTTTGCTGTATTGTTTACACAAAAAGAACTCCTAAGAATTTTAAGGTATTCCATTGGTTAATGTAAAAGTGCTGTTTCACACAATTATAAATAAAAATAATTTATATTATATGATATAAAAAGCCATCGGGTGAACAGAAATCAATGTTTACATATCCCTAACTTGTCCACAACCACCTCACCCCCCCAAACCCCATCTGATGTGTTCTTCAGATCACATCTCCAATGTTTAGTAAATGCCACTTGATGCCTGCTTGCATGTTGGAGCAACACCAGCAAGAGCTACATCAGTGAAAAGGCTGGACCTTCTATGGTTACAGGACTTGGAATGATCAGCATGGCATCCATGTGACCTCCACTAAACATATCAGTTTCCCTCAGAGCTGCACGGTGGCTGCAGCTCTGAGTCTGCACTAAAACACCAGCACAGATGGGGTTTCTAGAGAACATCAGCATTAACACATAGCTGATCCTCTTTAAAAAATAACAGCGATGTTTGTTTCAAACCACATTCCTAAAGGAACTAAACAAATAGTCTGTCAGGTGTCAGGAGCTTGACTCCTGTGGAGTCTGACAGTCGTGCAGTGGTGGGTCAAGGCAGGTTTAAGAGCCAAGCATGACACAACCTGGACATGATGATACAATCACTCTGACATGGAGCTTTCATTTTACTGACAGAAACACAAGTGATCAGATGACCTGGAGAAATGTCTGCTCCGTTTACAGCTGCTTCCACCTCCATTACTCAGGTGTTCTCCTTGAGAACATGCTGATTTAGCTTTCACCTGTTTAGTAACTTCATCCTTCCTCATTTGTGATGTGTGTTTATGTGTTTTACCTGCTTCTAAAATTTTCTTTTATTTTAACCATTCAAATAAATTGTACATATGAATATGCATGTCTACCTTTCTGTCTGTCTGTCCATACACACACACACACACACACATATA